ATTGCTTGTTGAAGTTGTTGTTGAAAATACAATACGTAGAAAAGGCTAATAGTTATCGCTAGTAGTTCGACTGGTCGCATGATTGATATTTGTTTACAAGAAATGGCGCGAAACTAGAGGTCACGTCTTTGCATCTGGCTTGAATAACCTGTCACATTTGCTTATCTTTGAAGATTAAGTGCGACCGTAAGAACTAGGTTAAAAATAATCATTTCCTGTATAAAGATAAAATTTTGGATAAGAATTTGCCGATATATTTTTTTAGATTTGGCTTAGTGCGACCCGGGCCAAATCTACAATTTTCGGTGCCCTCAACTAATTTACATATATCTCCCCCAAAACACGATATTCGGCCAAACTAACTACACAGCGTTTATAGGGACACTCTACCCTATCAATAGTATAAGTATGAGCGAAATCGATTTTTCAAGGTTTGCCACTTATTTTCGAAAATGTTTGATGATTACGGACATCCACTCTTAAGTTGTTCATTTTCGGTTCTTAACTTTGCTACTTGTTCTTTGGTCATAATTGTAAATAAAGATTTTTGACTAAATTTGTGGGAGCTCGAGGAAACACRTCCGTACTCTCGGCGTACTCGAGCCCAGTCCATAAAACAGACATATGTCAAATTGCCAAGATAAAAGAGATAGCGAATACAGAACAAGCTATATTCCTGGCTACCGTAACTCAATTTCAAGAATTATATGTAAAATTCCCAGTTCACCTTTTTACTTATAGCATCTTCAAGCATCTCAAGCCTTTTTTCTTCTTTTTTGCAAGTACAACTGCACCACACTCGATACGAAAACAAATATGGCGACGAAGGCGCGGGCCTAGATCATCACATGACATAACAAACAAAAACGCTAAAAATAAAACACCAGCATCGCATCTTTCTTCAGGTCTGGGTACTTTGAGTCAGACTTCTTGGGCTTCGTGAGCACCTCATTTTMATCTTCWACTTCGCTGTCAGTGTCAATGTCGTTCTCAGCGACGTTCTGGACGACGTTGGCAGAGTTTAATACCATCAAAGGTTTTGTAGTTGSTTTTTCAGATAGAATTGTATCTAGCTCCTCGAAAAAGATGTTTCTTTGATTTTGACGTTACAGTTTCTCCGCTCTTGTCTTTGAAAGATCTGTATGCTGAGACAAGCGTATGAATTCTTGTTTTGCATGTTTCTCCTGCCCTGTCTTCGTAGCCCGATGCTCTAATGTACTGGCTTATCTCATCCCAAATTGGCTTCTTTCTGGAGCACTTTCTCAACTTTTGTTGGGTATTTTCTTCTCTCCATTTCTCTATCAGTATCAACGTTTCCAAGTCCTTGGCCGCCTTGGTCGCCATCTTTGTTATACACCTTTTAAACTACMTGCTTTACGCGCTGGCGCGCGCGATGCGAACGTGTAACATGTTTTATAACAAAAAAGTTTAGTTGGTTGGTGTGAATGGGGTATATTTATAATTACAACGGTATAATATCTTAACATCTCCTCGAAAGCAAAAARTAGATGCTCATCTTTATACATATTATGATTTGATTAATATTACAGTTCAGTTCTACAATTGTATCACTTTAATGTACACTAAGTTAACACTTCTTCATTTTCATCATCATCACTCTCATCATCAGGTACAACATCTTGTTTATCTGAAAGAACATGAAATGTATTGAATAGCTTGCGTCCAAAGTTTTCAGTAACTTTCAATTGTCCTTTTTTATGTACATCTGTTAGTGTTTGTGAAACTTTTCCTATGTTTTCGCCATTGTTTGAAAGTTTGTCTATGAAGTCCTGATCACAAATATCAAAGAACTTTTCTTCGAGACAAAAATAGATTCCTTTTAGTTGATCAGGAAATGGATCTTGTTCACTGTGCTTTCTTGTTGGATGCACATTAAAGGCACATCTGCCTTCATAGGCACCCCTTATAGCTCCAAGRATGCCCACATTCACTGTAAGGAGTTGCAGCATTCCAAARGTTGAGTGCCCTGCACTTTAAATATAGTTTACTAAATCAAAAGTGCGAAACTCTTTTTAATTTAATAATGATATTGTCGAGTAAAGACTTTTTTCCCTATTTTGTATTTTCATTGTAAATGTTCATTTTTCATGTCTGAAACCAGTACCCAATCTTTATACTTGATAGGTCTAACTCCCTYATTGGACCAGTAAATAACTGGCTATGGTATTTGAATCGCATTTCATGATTCCGACTTTCGATTTATTTCTTGAAAGCAGTTCGTATGATATCACAATGGTTTCCTTTGGCAATTCTGTTTTTCTAGTGRTTCCTTGGAGGGAAACAGTTTGCTTTTTTTGAATGCTTGAACTGCAGCAATTCCATATGCCATGGATTCATCTCGAACTGCTTCATCAATGGTGTTGAGGTTCTGATGCTGGAACTTTTTATCTTTTATCTCAAAATGCAGCATCTGTTAATTTGTTTCTATTCATTACTGTCTGTGCTATGTCCATGAATCCTCCAGGACCCATTGTGTGTAGTTTAAAACACGAGAGAGAGTGTTTTATCAAATATAAAGATTCGAGCCGAAGGCGAGAATCTTTATACCTGATAAAACACGATCTCAAGTGTTTTAAACGGCTTAAAAAACTCCAACACTAATTTGAAACTCAAATCCGTTAAAATTCTTGGAGAAATTGCCGTACAAATATGTTCAGAGATAAATGGGGCAAACTGATCATGCGCGAATCACTTTACAAAGCACTCTTGTCATCCCACATTGAATACGCATAAAGTAAAATAGAACCGCTCTTGGCTGTTCACTGAAATCGGTTGACATCCTGCATTGGTCAATGATCAGGTTTCAAACCTGAGACCTTTGCTAGGGTCATGGACCTTTATATCTGATAAAGGTCACCCTTATTAGTATTCTTTATATAAAGAATACTAATAAGGAGTGTTTTATCAGATATAAAGGTCCATGCATGTGACCAAATAGGCTCATTCTATTGGCCTAGTAGCTCATTAATTATGTATGAGTTTTTTAA